GTGTGTGTCAGGTGTCCTCCTCCTTGTGTGTTCCCTCACCCATGTGTGTGTCCCACTGTGTCTCCCCACCTATGTGTGTCTCCTGTGTCCTCAGTCCCCCTACCCCTGTGTCCTCCCCAATGTGTCCCCTCGGCTGATCCCCTCCTTCCCCACATCCCTGGTCTGGTTGTGCCCCCGCTGCCTGCCTGGACACCCCTCACTCCACCTCCCTCCCCTGGCCAGGCCTTCACGGAGCTGCAGGCCAAGGTGATGGACACGCAGCAGAAGGTGAAACTGGCCGACCTGCAGATCGAGCAGCTCAGCAAGACCAAGAAGCACGCCCACCTCACCGACACCGAGGTGATGATGCTGGTGGACGAGACCCGCATGTACGAGGGCGTGGGAAGGATGTGAGTACCCGCTGAGAGGGGGTGACCCCGGCTCTGTGTGTGGGCAGAGGGGATCCCAAATTCAGGAAGGACATTGGAGCAAGTCTAGAGAAGGGCAATGGGGCTGGGGAAGGGGCTGGAGCACCAGGAGGGGCTGAGGGAGCTGGAGGGGCTCAGCCTAGAGAAAAGGAGTCTCTACAAGAGAGTGGAGCCAGGTGGGGGTCGGGCTCTGCTCCCAGGGAGCAAGGGACAGGACAAAAGGACGTAGTCTTAAGCTGTACCAGGGGAGGTTTAGGTTGGACATCAGGAAGAATTTCTTCACAGAAAGGGTGATTAGGCATTGGAATGGGCTGCCCAGGGCAGTGGGGGAGTCATCATCCCTGGAGGTGTTTGAGGATGTATTTGTGAGAAGGCTCTCACAGATCTGTCCAGAGTCAGTAAGTTCCTCTGTGCACCCCCTGTGCACGGTTCATGTTCTACAGAAATGCCCTTTGCAGTGTCATGCCAAGGAATGGATCTAATGTCGTTGCTTGGATATTTTCAAACTTCTGGAAGTGAGCATAAGGCTTGTGTGGCTACTCCCAGTGCACTAAAGATGTGCCTCATGTGTTGAGTGGCTGTCAAAAGAAACACCTTAAACGAGACTGGAGGTGCGTTGATTAATTTTCCCAACACACTTTGGTGGGACTTCAGCAGCCTCTGATACAAGACCGTACAAAGTGGTTTCAAATCTGAACCACGTGCTTGCTTGGCAAGTATCACACTAGATTTCTGTGTTTCTGATTTGAGAAACAGGATTTTTCCACTGCTGTGATTTTTCTCTCCTGTCTCTCGTGTGTTGGGTAACAGTGATGACTGCTCATCTCGGGACGTGGTTTGCGAAACGGTGGATCTGCTCTGACTGCTGCCAGAAGGGGTGATTGTATTGAACTCTCCCCCACCCTGTTTACCCCACCTTCTCCATGTCAAAGGGGATGATCACAGGGCCAAGCAGTGAGCCAGGTCAGGCTGCAAGTCCCTGATCCATCGGCCCATGCAATCTCCTGACCGAGTTGTAGGGAGGTGGCAGGACTGGGAAGCCAGGAATGGTGTGTACTTTGCCTTTTGCTGAGGCTTTTCAGGTGAAGTTGTACCCAGGCTAATGGAGCTGTTCAGAGTGACAGTCCCCTTCCTGGTTCCCACTAAATAAACTTTTCCAAGTAGGTGCATTAAGTGCTGGGTTTGGTGGGGATGCTGGTGCCTGGCACCTTAAAATGAGACACATTCTGGTCCCTTGCAAGAGGCAACTGATTGACCTGGGCAGGCTGTAGATGTAATAAACACTCGTGTTTGGAGTAGTCATGAGATGTCTCAAGAGGGTTTTTTTCTGTTTGGTTTGTCAAAGAGCAGACAGGTGAAGAGCAGAAGATAATTTAGGAGTCAACACGTTTTTCTAAGGCTTTTTTAAAATCCAAAAGTACAGAATACTTCTATGTGGAGAAGTCCCTCTAGGTACCTTAGAAGTGTGAGTGTATTAGTGTTTTGTTGCAAAGTAATCCTGCTTGTGAATCAGATGTGGGGAGCAGGGGGTGTTTGGGTGGTGGCTAAAGAACATTTTTCTGCTTTCTGCTTCTGCCTCCTCCTTAGGGGTAAGAGACACCTTCTATGTGTCCTAAGCCATTTACAGCTCCTGTGAAGGAGCTGCAGGAGCCACAGTCTTCTGGGAGTCCTGTTTTCTTTTCCATGACCAGCCAGGTGCCCTGGCAGCTCTGGCTCGTCAGGGATGGCAGAGGCGCCAGCAGGGAAAATATTTGCATTATGATAGTATTTAAAAACTGAACTCTTCATGGGCTTTGCTGTACTAGTGGCTGTGCAAATATAGATTGAGAGACTGCTCTTCTTCTGAACACTACTCAGTCACTCTGTTTTAACTTTTTTTTTTTGTCCTGCCTAAGCTTGACAGGATATTTCTGTGAGCTCTGCCTGTCCTGGATGTGGGGCTGAAGCTGCCTTGCCAATTGGTGTGATCTGTGCCACCTCCTAGTGCAGAGAACATGAGGCACTTCCTGGAGCCCATTCCAACCCCCAGTAGAGGATTTATTGCTGAAATCTGGGCTTTTAGCAAAGCAGGCTAAAGCAGCCCTTGAGCAGGAATTAAAATCCAAGGGCAGTCTGGCATCTTTTGTTCCAAAGGAGGTGGTCACTATGGTTCTTCTGGACTTTGAAGCCGTGTTCTGTGAAGTGGAATAGCAGATGTTTTAATTTGTTGGCTTCATTGGCTTGCATGGATGTGGAGTTTGGCCACCAAAGGGATGTTTGTGATGTCTTAATTTCATTTGCGTAGTCCAGCACGCAAATGTTGAAGCTCTAAAGAGTTCTAGTTACCCAGGAAGGGTGGAGGTTTGCGTCAGCATTGACTCTGATTATAAGAGCTCTTCTGCTTGAATAGCTCAGTTCTTTGAAATAAGTTTTCTGCTTCTATTCCTGTGCTCCATTGTTGTTTTTTTTTTTAATTTCCTTTTTTTATTTCTCCAACCCATTTAAGTTGCTACTTAGAATGTGGCTTCTGATAGGGTCTCTCTGTTTTTTTGTCCAGCTTTGGTGTTTTGGGCTCTGTCCTACAGTTCTGCAGGACAAGATACTCGAGGTTTTCGTGGAATTTGAAGGCTCAGGGAGCAGTGGTGACGTGCTGCAGGCTGGGAGGAACTCTGTCCAGTTGGGTACTTCCTTCCACGTTACTTGGAAAACAGTTATGTGGTTTTTGTTCTCTGAACCCCAATCTTGAGCCTCCTCCCTTCCCAAAAGGCTTTCCCTGCACCACTGGTGAATGTGAAAGTCCATTTTTTGTTCCTCAACTCGGTCTTCCTTTTTTTTTTTTGGCAAATATTGCAGTTTGTGTGACAAACCAAAGCCTTCCCGGCCTCCACATGTGGGACTCAATTTACTCTTGCCGAAGCTATTTCTGGTTTGACACAAGAAATGTCAGTGCCACATAGTATGAGCTGATGAATTGCTGTGTACTGTACATATCCCTGAGGCTGGGATATCATCTGAGGGCTGGCATCTGGCCAAATACATTGCACTTCTGTTACTTCATACTCTTTTGAAAGGCCTGTTACGTAGCCTGAGACAGCTACCACTGTGCAGGACTTCTGCTTAGGCTATTTGGGAGCTGATATCATCGTGTTGCTTTGAGAACTATGTTGAAAGTTTAAGCTTCAGAATTCTGTCTGAATATTTCAGACCTTTCCCTTTACATTCTTCTACCCCATAACCTGGACAAGATCCTTATTTACAGCAGAAAAATGTCTGGCACTTGTGCAGGGCACAGTGAGGAGAGCACTGTGAGCACAGTGAGCAATTTGTCATGCCATGCCAAAATAGACACTCAGTTTTGGTTTGATATTGCTTTATCATCAGTTTACTTGGGCTGCAAAGGGGAGAATGCTTGCAAAGAGAAAATATAAGAAAGTAAAAATCAAGCAAATGCTGTAGCACAGCTTTATGTTCAAGGTTTTCTGCAAGTATAGTGTGTTATCCCAGCTGTTATCCCTATAAAATGACTCTGTGCCATTACACTATTTTACAGGACAGCTGTAATAATATGATTTTGACTTTTTTTTTTTAAAGAGCAGTTCAGATTTTCGGAGGCTGAACCCTACGCAGGTGAAACCTGAGAGAGGATTAAATGTCCTTGATCATTCCTGGGACTTAAATGCATTGTTGCTTTTACTGTGATTCCTGGCTTTGTTTGAAAATGAGACATCATCAGTCACTGTAAGCTCTTTCCTGGACCCCTAAAGACAGCAGTCCCTGCTGCACATCCCTTGATGCAGCTGCATTTTCACTGTTTGGATGTGTGTGAGGTGTGTGTTTGATTCTACCAGTGCAGATCCCTGCAGAATGTGCTCAGCTGTGATTCCCATGTCAAAAGACTCCTAAAGAGCTGAAGGACATGCAAGGCTTAATCTTCATGGTTCAGTTACTAACTATAGGCTGGTCTGTGAAATCCGAGTGGCTTCTCCATGGCCCCTCTCCGTGGGGAAGGCTCAGTGTGGCCCTGGGGCCCGGCTGCTGAGGAGCTGACAGGTGCTGCAGGCACAGCCAGCACGGCTTCAGGAGGGGAAAGTCCTGCTCCTCAAACCTGATGTCCTTCTGGCACAGGGTAACCCAGCCTAGCTGATCTAGGAAAGCCAGTAGATGTGATCTTTTTGGGTTTCAGTAAAGCCTTTGATACTGTCTCTCATGGGATCCTTCTGGACAAACTGTCCAGCCCACAGCTGGATAAACACATCATGTGGTGGGTGAGCAACTGGCTCATGGGTTGGGCACAAAGGGTGACAGTGACATCAGGCTGGTGACCTGTCACTGGTGGGTTCCACAGGGCTCCATCGTAGGCCCCGTGCTCTTCAACATCTTCAGAAATGACTTGGAGGTGGCACTGGAGGGGATACTGAGTAAGTTTGCCCACACTAAACTGGGAGGAGCTGCCGACTCCCTCAAGGGCAGAGAGGCCCTGCAGAGAGACCTTGATAAATTAGAGAGATGGGCAATCACCAACCATATGAAGTTCAACAAGGGGAAGTGCTGGATTATGCCCCTGGGATGGGACAACCTTGGATGTATGGACAGACTGGGAATGAGAGGCTGGAAAGCAGTGCTGGGAAAGGGCCCTGGGGGTCCTGGTCAATGGCCAGTTGGACATGAGTCAGCAGTGCCCTGGCAGCCCGGAGGGCCAACCCTGTCCTGGGGGCATCAGGCCCAGCATCGCCAGGTGAGAGAGGGGATTGTCCTGCTCTGCTCTCTGTGGCCTCACCTTGGGTTCTGGGGGAAGTTTTGGGCACCACAATATCAAAAAGACATTAAGCTATTGGAGGGTGTCCAAAGGAGGGACACAAGGATGCTGAAGGGTTTGGAGGTGAAGCCTTATGAGGAGCAGCTGAGGGCACTTGGTTTGTTCAGTCTGGAGAAGAGGAGACTGAGGTCAGACCTCGTTGTGGTCTTCAACATCCTCATGAGGGGCAGTGGAGGGGCAGGTACTG